TAACCTCAACACAACGGTTTCCGTTTAACCAACAAAATTAATCCTCTTAAGTTTATTAACCACGACCATGCATTAATAAACCGAAGTTACTTACTTGTGAAACCATCAACGATTAACCATCGGTTCGTTGAACGTTTCTAGTAGTAATTAATGTTGAGATGTTAACTAATTGTCATCTTAGCAACACTCCCCAACATTAACATAGAGATAGACTAAGGGAAGAATTAATATTCAAGGAAGAAGATTAAATATGAATAATCCTACTATAACTAATGTCAAGATGTTATCTAATTGTCATCTTAGTAACACTCCCCAACATTAATATATAGAGGAAGAAAATAAATACTACTATAACTAATGTTGAGATGTTAACTAATTGTCATCTTAGCAACACTCCCCAACATTAATATATAGATAGATTAAGAGAATAATTAATATTCAAGGGAAGAAGTTAAGAAAATAACTCACAACTTTAATAATCAACAAGCTTTAAGAGCAACACCAAGAAATGGAAGTTTAGCTCCTCATTTGGAGACTAAACATGCTAAAAAAATATAAAAGAAATATTATTCTAAGTTGAGCTTAAGAGTATGGAAGAAGGAGTTATTTAAAAGTGAAGGAAAATGGGGTTATTTATAGGTGTTTTCAACACCTAATGCCGGATACCCGGCCGGGTATTTGCTATACCCGACCGGGTATTTGTCAAATCAAATCTTTTTCCCATGTTCTGGTGTTCTTCTGCACGTTCGTTTGCCCAAAAACACTTCATACCCGATCGGGTATAGGGAATATCCGACCGGGTATTTGCTAATTTCGTTGCAACTCCCTTTGTCACTTCATACCTGGCCGGGTAAAGTCCATACCCGACCGGGTTTTGCATAAGACTCGGGATTTTCCATCCTTCTTGCTTCCAAACCTATCCTAAACTTATAGCTCAACTAACTATAACTTACAACAAACAATAAAATGCTGAAAATACAATTACAATCAAATGCAAACTAACGACTACAAACTTGCATAATACTAGTAAATAAATATTACAAACGATAATAAAAATGTACACTTTAGGCACTAACAACTAGTGCCTATCACCCATGATCGGTCGAAATATGGATGCTAGAAAAGATATTCGTTATTGAAAAGTTATTGGGAGAAGGAATTCCCTATGAAAGTGCAATATGCGCATGATTGTACTTTGACAAACACATTCGACCAAATATTAAATTCTCAAGAACGTGTTAGCTGGAAACAGCTCAGGACCAACACATCGTATATCGTCATTGGAATGGTATCAAGAATTACATTGATATCTATATGAAACCATTGGAGTAATCTTTATTCATCCCTTTTAAATGATTGATGATAGTATTATTCCTAAAGGAATTGGAAATGTCAAAGTATCACTCATTCACTCTCACTCTAATACAAAGTAGTGTGATTTGAGTTTACTGATGATGAATGCACTCTGACCTCATTGATATCTTCTAAACTGGGTATATACTTTTCATGAAAGAAACCATGATATCATGTACGGATTAACTTGATAAAAGTAAATATCGAGTAAATATTGGATTATTATTAATGCGTTATACTCAGGGGGAGTCTTAATATACATATTTATCATCAATTATATATACTGGTGTGTTGTACTTTTTTTTTCTTTTGACCAAGTTTTATTTTTTCCTTTGAGATTTGTTACTTGGTAAGGTTTTTTGAGGCAACATAACATGCACCATCCCACATTTTAATTTTGCAAACGTAAAATTATGTTGAAGAAAGAACATAATTAATATATAGCAGTCAAAAGTAATTGACTGTGCTTATTAGTGCATCATATATATTTTTTCTTTCTCCTTTGACCGATGTTTATTTTTTCCCATTGAGTTTTGTTCATTGGCAACGGTTTAACAAGTTAATAATTTTTACGCTTATCACCTTACACTCAGCACACATGGGGAGAATTAAAGGAATTATGTTCATCTATTTGTGTGCCTTCGCTAAGGTACTTAATGTGACAAGTATCGGAATGCATGAACTTTCCAAACATCCTTGATTAATGTAATTATTAAGGATATATGTAGAGTTGAGGGGGAGTTTCCCATCTACATTACGTTACACTCTTTTCGTTTCTCCAAGTTTTATTTTTCCCATTGGGTTTTATTACTTGGGAAGGTTTTTAATGAGGTAACGATACATATATATGTTATTGATCGAAGCAATGATCAAATAATGATAGACTTATTGAACGAATTTTATCATGGTGATGTACTCTATTTCTCCAGTCAAGGTCATTTTTTCCCACATGATTTTTGTTACTTGACAAGATATACCACATTCTATCTGCAACTCAGCACAGGGTAGTGTTGAAGAAAATTATGTATTGTGTGCTATCCTTTAGATAGAACTGGCTCATATATATGCTACCAAACAGACCCTTAACTGGGCACAATTCGAGATCAATTCAACTTCAGTTCATTTTTCCATATTGTTGGCCTATTTTTACATTTATAAAAACCAACACCGGAAGTAGTGGTTTTGGTCCTACTCTAAAAAACCTGAACCCTTTGGACCAGTTCTGAGTATCACTTCAGGTCAAGCACCAAAAAACGTGTGTCTAGGACAATGATAAAAATACACAGTGAGTCCATTTGGTAACATTAAAATTGGCTGTTTATGCTGAAATTTATGAAGTTCTGGTTGAAGTGCCTATATTGGCTGATTCTGCTGATTAATGAAAAAATATATTTAAAATATTTGTTATTAATAAACAAAATAAAAAATTACATGATAAAATAGCTAAAATGATCCTCTAGTCCCTCTAGAGTAATTTTGGCCAATACAGTCAGAAAAGTAACTCCAACCTTACTTTTTCTGATTATTACACAATTTAGCGTGCGAAATAAAAAATTACGTGTTTGGTGAAAAAGCTAACTGATAAGCCAAAAAAAGGGGTCACCAAACGGGCTCAATGTGTATCATATTCTTCCTTTTGGTATTATTTTAAAAACTAAAAGTAAGTTTTTTATTGATATGGAAAACTAATACATTAAATAATTTCCATTAAAATTATAATAGAACACAATATATTATATCGAATACATTAAAAAACTGGCTCATATATAATCAGTGGTTGTACATTTTTATTTAGATTGGATCTTCTTGTCTTCCATTTGTTTTAGTTTGTTGATAAACACCTCCACCATGGTTCTCTATGATCACAGGGTCATCTTTGCCAAACTCTGCAAGTTAGCAATTATTATAGTAACAAATAATGAAGCTAGTCAATTAATAGGATTTTCAAATTCTGGATTGCTACAATCACACAGAATGAATATCTAATTGAATATCTTTTCTTCAATCGCACTATCATAATCATACTAAAAAGTTTATCCTAATAATATAATATGAGTACTGCTTTCATCACCGTTATTATATCAGTGGGCTTTATTATCTCAATCTTCCTAATGGCACCTATAACTCATTCATCTTCAATTCAGGATGATAAGGAGTAGCTGCCAAACAACCACCTAATCACAACTTACATCTCAGAAATCAGCCACAAATTTTAACTGCAATACTTTTGAATTATTATTATGAGAAAATCATTGCAAGGGTAAGGGGGTATAACTATGGCCTATGGGATTACCCAGATGTGCTGGGAAAGAGCACTCAATCCAAAATCATAAACTTTGAGTCTCCAAGCGATATCTGGTAGCAAATCATCTGGCTGCATAAGCAAATCATTCCATAAAGTTATTATGTTATGCATAATTATTATGTTTCATAAGAATGAAAGGAGCAGCAAATATTTCCTAAGATATCATTATTACGTTTCATAAGATCCCGATGGAAGATTCCCTGCTGTGAAAATATTCATCCGCTTTTACATCTTATTGGAAATATTTCCCTGCGTCATGACTTACCATTCTTGTAAATAGATTAAGTAAAGAGAATATAATTAAAAGGAACTCATATGTATTAGGATTTTTTCAATAACTTGAGTTGTGCTAATGGTTTTACTCGAATTCAAGGTTTCGAACTTAGCATGTCAAAATTCACATGCAATGTTGACTTTACATCAAAGTTCATTTTTCAGGGAACTCCAAAATCAATATACCCTATATAAAAGCAAATATAAAAACTAATTAAATTAATAGGACTTCAGTTTATCATAAATCAGATGATTACAGTAAAACATGCTTGGAAAGATTAAAAAAAATGCTTATTCTAAATAATAACCATCTAGCCAATGATGATATATGTATATTGTTGTAACCTTTATGCCATAAATTTTAACCCATGAACCTGCAAATACATCTCTGATCTCATGCTTATTGTTCATTTAACTGCACCATAAAATAGAAAGCAGAGAAAATCATACCTACTACGGTTTGGCTGCTCCAACTGCAGCCTAGACATCTTTACGTGCTAATCACGACGTTTAACCTTGTCTTGAAATAGTGATACTTATCTGCCCAAGAAATTATATTTAAAATGAGTTTAATTAAGTTGCAATCATAACTACTCTACATAATAATAAAAAACTTTAAGTTATCTGAAATTTGTATTTAGGTATTTCAGTAAAATATATTAGTATTAACTTAATCATATAATATTTGACTCTACAAATAAAAAGATGGAGCAGAACCATGTATTTCAATTTAATAGTGCTACTGAAATCACATAATAATTGGTGTGTCCTCTAAAACTAAAGAATTAATACACTGAGATATGATTTTTTAATGCAAGAAAACTCACTCTAACAACTAAAGGAATTTCGCACTTATAGAAGAAAATCAGTACCTTCGTTGAGTGTTTCCTTTGACTATGATAGGGCCCTGGGCTGTAGAGAATAATGATAATAATAGTGATAGATTGATATTGAATAAGTTTGGTATTGTATAAATAAGTATTCTGGGCCATGTCATATAATATGGGCTGGCCCGTTAGAATAGAGTACTATAAGAGATGGAAGGAAGGGAGGAAAGGGGTAGGCAGAATTTTAGACTTGGGCTGGGAATTCTGGGAGAGATAGGCTGCTAGAAGTGCCTAAACCTGTATCGTTTCATTCCTGTTCATCAATTACGTTCATAATCAACAACAATTTTCCCTCCTTCGATCCTGGTATCTATCATTGGTATCAGAGCATCATTCTGGTGACCTGATTTCTCGTTGCATCATCAGAAATTTTTCGTTCCAAGCTGTGACTGTTTCGGACAAGAGCCAAGATGGAACAGCGATTGGAGGCTGTTGAACGCAGTTATGCAAATGGGAAAGAAACATTGCTGCGAATGGAAGCAAGGATGGAGGAGATGTGGACTAAGCTGGACGAGTCTGTGGACAGTTTCCGTCAGTTTTGTCGCAGGCGACCTAGAGATCGATCGCGGACAGACAGGAGCCGTCGATCATCAGAAACGAAGGACTCAGCACCGGAAAAGAAGTCACGACCGATTTCTTCTGGTTCGCAGTCGCGAATGAATACCCCCTGTTCGCAGACTGCATCGCGCGTAGCAGCTTCTAGCTCGCAATCGCGAACTTCTTCGCAATCGCAAGCCGTTTCTCACAGTAGTTCGCAGAAATCGTCGCAGTCAGCATCGTCTTTTATTTCTCCTAGTTCACAGATACGAACTACCTCTCTCAGTTCGCATCTCATTCCGAAGGCGTTTTCATCTGCTATTCACTCGCATCAGAATGCAACTCTATCCAGAGAGAAATCTGATTGTGCGCAAATTTTGTCTCAGGTCTCTTCTGAATCGCTGACCGCATCTCACAGTTCATCAACTCTAGCCGTTTCTCACACTTCGCAGTCGCTAAGGACTTCTTTCAGTTCACCATCGCAAACTGATACATCGCATCCTCCGGATTATGTGAGTCTACTGCCACTTCCTTATGACAAAATGAATTCGAAGCAATTTGACAAAAATACATCTAAGCTCAACAAAAGTGAAGATGGACGCCAGGAACAATCATCTGTTGTTCAGGTTCATATTCCTGAAATTCGATCGGTTGCAGGGATGATAAGAAAATTTCCTAGTTCATTCGCTTCTCTTACTCTCGTACATATGGATGGAAAACACAAGGACAATAGGAAACTAAATCAGGTAATAAATGAGAGCACTGAATTCTTGTTCTCCAAAGTCATTCCTGGAAAATATAGTTGTAAAGTTAGGAATTCTTTAGGAGTGCTTTATGAGGAAGACAGATGGTATGGGGATAAAAATTTGGCCTACTTTGGACATTCAGTTCAAAAGAACATAAGGGATGCTAATGAACATAAGGTTGTCATGCTTCTATCCTTGGACTCCTCAGATATGGGACTGAAAGGGGCTGATAATTTTACTTTTGGTAGCAGTGTTGAAGAAAAGGTTGATGAAATAAAAGAGATTGGTGCTGTTGACAATTTTAAGAATCATGGTGATGTTATTGGCTTTAATTCAGAATACCAATGGGGTGGAACCAATGTGAATCTGGACAATACTATCCAGGCTGCTGTATTGAATGTCCCCAAGTACCTTGTTTCACCCACCAACTCGTGGCTTGGCACTTTGACAGGAGGGCATGAACTGAACTTTCAGAGATCAGTTTTATCCAGTGAAGGAGCAGTTCAGGGAGTGGGGTATACCCATGCCAAAGCATTATCAAGGTTCTGTAAAGCTATTGTTCAGGCGAGGCAAGGTCAAGGGAATTGCTTGGAGAAATATGTGCACAAGGAGCGGGTTTTGGGGGAAATTACCCAAAGGCAGTAGGGTCAGCTTATGATAATAAGGAATACTCTTACATGAAGGGTAATAGGGTGAAGAATGACTATATCCTGGAAAAAGAGAATTTTGAGAAAGTTGTTGATTATGATAAGTCTGTGTGGTTCTACAACTTTAGGGCTATCGTATCTGTGGTGAAGAGCTTGGAAAGCATTAGTACTAGTGCAGTTATAACAGCTCTAGACTCTTCCACTAACTTTTTGAGTGTTGCTATTGGAAACGAATCTGGCCAAGTTCCCTATGACATGCTTAGCAGCAACTCTGGCTCTCAGAAAGCAAGATTGCATTTGCTCATTGAACCCAACGCTGAAGTTTCCCTTTTCCCAAGTGGTGCTTGGTACCAATGCACCGCTATCTTTTCGCTTGTCAGTTCCCCAGTATGCATCTGGCAGTCCATGGCATCAGGATCCAAATGGGTTATGGGGCTTGAAAGCCGCCAGGTTGTTCTGTTTGATATTGGTCCACCCTCGGTTTTGTTTCTAATGTACAGTCCCTCTATCTCAAGATTTCTAATCTTATCTACTAAGGCATCTATGGGTCTTCCTCAAAGCACGGTGAAACCAGAAGGTAGAATCTCATATGAAAGTGAGGAAGAACTTTCTTGGTGCTTAACCAAAGGTGGCGGACACATTATTTTAATGACTAGCAGCATTGGCAGTTTGACCTATTCGCAGCCAGCGCATCCAGAAAAGGATATTGAAAGAAAAGATCAAACAGAAGCATCTGATCATGAGGAACAAAACAATTACAATGATCCCGAAAATCAGTGTGTTTCTCAGGAAAGCAATCTCATGGTTCCGCCATCAGTTAGCTACTGGGAAGGAAGAGGTGCTCGGATGAAGATGAAGTTGAAGATCAAGGCTTTGTCCTATCACCCACCTTGAGGACAAGGTGGGTTTTCAAGGGGGGAGATATGATAGGGCCCTGGGCTGTAGAGAATAATGATAATAACAGTGATAGATTGATATTGAATAAGTTTGGTATTGTATAAATAAGTATTCTGGGCCATGTCATATAATATGGGCTGGCCCGTTAGAATAGAGTACTATAAGAGATGGAAGGAAGGGAGGAAAGGGGTGTTGGCTCTATCCTTCCAAAATCAACGTGTTGACCGTGTTGCTCCTAAGTTGACCTCATTGACCATCTAACTCTGAGAATTGACCTGCAAATAATCACTAAAAACAACTAAAAATATATTAGAAGCTCGAGACGCGTCAGACGCTGTCCTAAGGAATTATTTCTGGCATACGGAAATTTCCCCCAGGATATAACGAGCCCTTCGGTTATAAAACCGGTACCAGAACTAACGAGAAGAAATTAGTATATGAACCCAACAATAAAATATTTTGTGCAAACAGATTTAGGTGCAAAATATTTTTAGAGAACGAGTAGCTTATCTCATCTCTCTTAGCAGGACCCATATGGCTAGAAAATATTATCGATCCTCCATATAAGAGTACTTCAGCTTTATGTTGTGCAACCCATTTGATCTCTCACACTTTTAGTGTCCATGTATTCGTATATAGTTAGTTAGTACCCTAAAAACAACCACTACTGGATGTCCATATATAGTGTAAATAATTCTTATGGTCACAATTAAGCACCCATACGTTTTGTGTATTAAAATCTAATTACTATCACTTAATGCTAAAGGTTGAAGAACGTTGCAACCAACCAAAGGTCTCAAAGGATAAAAACGTTCCAGGATTGTTATAATAAAGAACATATGGTAATGATTAATATTATATTGGTAATATAATCATAAGTGCCCAACGTTAGGAAAATTAGTTAGTTAAGTCAAATTAATATTAAGTTATTTTTTTTAACGTGTTGGGGTGAAATTAATGGTCTACTTAGTTAGAATAAAATTTCCCACAACAATAATTAAAATCTATTCATTTGAAATACATCAAAAGTTCCAACAATCCCCCACATATTTCAAATGAAATAATTTGAAGTATTAAAAATAGCAATTCCTTACTGGGTTCATATATGGAGTGAAGTTTTTCAATCCGGTGTCCGTAGACTTGAACCAGACCTAGACGCCTAAGTCTTTAAATACCGAGTTTATTGGTGAAACGTATAGTTTCTATGAACCAATAATCTACTTTTGTAAGTCAGTGTCTTAGGCGATCATTTTTCACCCCCACCTTTCTCGCCGTTAACGCCGTTGTGCGCCTTTCGGCCGTGCGCGTGCCTGGTTTTCTTGAGTGCTCTAGAAGCGTTGTCAATGCTTCATGGAGGCGGCCCCACCTCACACTCATATAGGTGACCTCATCAAGTGTGTCCCGCACTTAACACACCACCCGTAAGGGCTATGACAATCATTAAGAGATTTAGCTCAACCTCACAAACAAATGCAGTCTAGCCTTCCACACCATAGAAATGGACATTTTACAAGGCTAGCAGAACAAATAGAAGACTTGTTATTACCCATTTGAACTTGCTTCATGGGATCTCCAATCACACAAGTTGGGTTCCCATCCCTCTTTGTTGTCGAAGTGACATTAGTCCATTTCCCTCGATGTTTAAATTTATCATTTAACGTCCTAGGGATTCTATCAAAAGGAGTAGCTAATTCCTTTTAACTTCACAAAATTAATGGAGATAATTCCATTCTCAAACATCATTGCACCACTTTTAAGGGTGAATGGATATCCACTATTTGTGGATAACTCTCAATAAGAAATAGCATTGATGTGACACTTTTCTACATCAGATAATTAATTTCAATAATATGTTATATCCTAACCGATAATTCTCAATATAATATATAACATTATTGTATCATCATAGTACAATGGATAATTCTCATATATAACATCATTGTACCTCTTTAGTACAACACATATTTCTCAATTAAACATATCATCGTTGTATCAATATATTACAACGGATAATCCGAACCATAATTAATGATACCTCTCGAATATCTCAATAACTCAAGGTATCCCAACCATCACTTTTAGATTTTATATATTCGTTCAATCTTCAATTCCAGCATTTTAAAATTATGAAATGTCACACACATTTAATTGTAACAGACTCACAATTTTGTTTTTATTTATATCAAAGTCATAAGGGATATTCACATTTTAACATTGAAATATCAAACTTCTTAAGAGGTTTTTCAATATGATAATAGTAAAATACCACAATCCTTCCTTATGACTTTAAAATAATACTCAAAAATTACTTTTATTATATTCATATATCAACTCAATATAGCTACTCATATAAGCATACAAAAATTCCAGCAACATATAAACAAATAACCACACATACATCATTTAGTGTGTTCACATTCTTTAGAAATCAATCACATAAATATCAACAATAATGTAGCTTAAAGTATTGCACACCAGCACACTAATTTTTCAATTCAAAAAAATCATATATATATATATATATATATATATATATATATATATATGCTCCACTATTTCAGTTTATGCAAAGAGTGACTAAAGGTTATAAAACTCATTTTCACTCAATAAGATAGGTAATCAAATTTAGCTAAGCACCCCCACAATTTTAAATATTTCAGAAACATGTGCATAGCCCTTCTAAAATTCATGGAGGGATAATTTCATTTTTATTAAGATAATTTATATTTGAATCAACCTTTATTTGTACACCAAATATTTTATCAAAAATTCTCCTTTAAAATAAAAATAAAATAAAATTTGGTGTATCTAAAAAATCACTAATGAGAGGGATAAAACCCTTTTCACCACATCTAGTCACCATATTATTAATAGCAATAAATCTTACATAGATTCACCATACATTCACAATTTTTCAAAATTCACCACTATAATATTTCTAAAAGCACACCGCAAATATGCACAATGAATATATCATATGATTGCATTCAATAAGTAAAGGTAATAAAACTTGTTCAGATACGTAAGACTCCCACATTTTTCATATACGGGTATCTAAATTTTGGTGCTTACGCTATTCACATATTCAAATACGCCAAAATTCGAGAACAAATTTTAGTTCTCAATAAAAGTCCAGAAATTATGTTCCATGTAAAATAATATACATATTTTAGATATTGAAAAATAGTGATAATTAGTATGACCATCAAAATGTTCCAGGCAGATTCAACAGTAGCACAACCATGCATTCTCAATATAATACAACATTTAGTTTTAACAATCACAATTAATAATAATCACAACTGAAATTACAACGGTGACAAACAATAGTAAGTATTCATAGTCGTGTTTTTTTTTCAAAAAAAAAATGTTCATGACATTTAGTACGGAGTACTAATTAAGTAATTAACACGAGCATGCAAACTGAGCGTTCCAACCGTGCCATTAAATCAGAAACATTAAGCAAATAACCAATTTGCCACAATTAGTCCCAACTTTTCTCAAGAGAGACACGTAAACTAAATAAGATCAATCTAAATCTCAACTAAGTAAAATATGCCATTCAAATATAAAACTAAATATGATGTGAGCTTAATAAGAATCTTCTTTCGCCATACCCTATAGAACTATAGGAGGATATATAAAAATGCATCATGTTTTTTTTTTATTTATCAAAAAAGTGTGACAGCCTCAAAATCTACCTTACCACCAAATCATTCACATTAATCACTAGATTTTTTTTAAAAGAGAAAAAGAAAACAACCGCAAAAAATATTATAATCACCATCAACAAAATTTACCCATTATTTCGGTAGATTGTTTTCCCCATAATTTTCATTATATTAAAAGTTGACGTTTTAAGTGAAAGCTATTCATAATTAGGTTTTATTAAAATCATACCAAAGTTTGATCATTCAATGGGAGCTAGAATTTTTACCGCTTGTCTCAAGAAGAGTTTCAAGCAAGTTGACAATTCCGTAGGTGAAATCTTTATACTATACGCCGGAACTAATTCCTTAGATTGTTGGCTCTATGCCTCTATCCTTCCAAAATCAACGTGTTGACCGTGTTGCTCCTAAGTTGACCTCATTGACCATCTAGCTCTGAGAATTGACCTGCAAATAATCACTAAAAACAACTAAAAATATATTAGAAGCTCGAGACGCGTCAGACGCTGTCCTAAGGAATTATTTCTGGCGTACGGAAATTTAATTTCCCCCAGGATATAACGAACCCTTCGGTTATAAAACCGGTACCAGAACTAACGAGAAGAAATTAGTATATGAACCCAACAATAAAATATTTTGAGCAAACAGATTTAGGTGCAAAATATTTTTAGAGAACGAGTAGCTTATCTCATCTCTCTTAGCAGGACCCATATGGCTAGGGGTGTTCGTCGGTTCGGTTTTGGCGGTTTCGGTTTTATCGGTTCGGTTTTAGTCGGTTTCGGTTTTTTGTCGGTCGGTTTTGATCGGTTTCGGTTTTAGTCGGGCGGTTTTAGCGGCTTTAAAAATAGATGAAACCGAGAATCGGACCACAAAAATTGAGACAATTTTGGTCAATTTTAGCCATTTTTGCCGGTTTATTTTCATTTGACCGGTTTTTTAAGCCAAAAGTACGAACCGTAAGCCGAATAACCGATGAATTAGTCAATTTCGGTCGGTTTCGGTTTTATCGGTTCGGTTTTGGTCGGTTTCGGTTTTGGTCGGTTTCGGTTTTGGTCGGTCGGTTTCGGTCGGTTTGGCGGTCGGTTTCGGTTTTTCGGTTTTTTTGTTCACCCCTACATATGGCTAGAAAATATTATCGATCCTCCATATAAGAGTACTTCAGCTTTATGTTGTGCAACCCATTTGATCTCTCACACTTTTAGTGTCCATGTATTCGTATATAGTTAGTTAGTACCCTAAAAACAACCACTACTGGATGTCCATATATAGTGTAAATAATTCTTATGGTCACAATTAAGCACCCATACGTTTTGTGTATTAAAATCTAATTACTATCACTTAATGCTAAAGGTTGAAGAACGTTGCAACCAACCAAAGGTCTCAAAGGATAAAAACGTTCCAGGATTTTGTTATAATAAAGAACATATGGTAATGATTAATATTATATTGGTAATATAATCATAGGTGCCCAACGTTAGGAAAATTAGTTAGTTAAGTCAAATTAATATTAAGTTATTTTTTTTAACGTGTAAATAATAATAACATTAAAAGTGTTGGGGTGAAATTAATGGTCTACTTAGTTAGAATAAAATTTCCCACAACAATAA